CTCTCTCTCTCTCTCTCTCTCTCTCTCTCTCTCTCTCCACAGCAAACATAATATAGTTTTCAATGAAAAATAGTCTCAAAAGTCGTAAAAACATCCGAAAAAAGCAAACTCTAATCGATTGACTTCACTCACGAATATAATACCAGACAAAAAAATGAACACAAAATATAATGAAAAAACTCGGATTTTTCCTGAATTAGACAATAATTTTCAGTATAAAAATTGTTAATAATAGTGTAGAGTTGGCACTAGTTTTTGGTTTATATTTATGACAAATGTGTCCAAATCACAGAAAAATCGATATTAAGTTTTCGGATCTCATGTTTTCAGATGAATGGGTTGATAATCTTCTAAAAGGAATTATCGTATAGTTATATATAATACAAATGAACACAAAAATACTGTAAATAACGCCAATTCTGTCACCAATTCTTGCGATGCATTAGGAGTCGCGTTATTGGAGAGAAAGTATTCAATTGTTTAAACAGCGGAACCGTTCGCTCAACACATTATATATCAGATATCAGCTGTCGATCGATATTGAATTAACTCCAAGAATGCCTTTTTCACAATTCTTTCTAAATATTCTCTTATTTTTACAAATTTTTTATATATAGTTATCAAATAAATCCATTGAATAACGCTTTAACGTTATTAAAACGCTTGTACTTTATATCACTTGAATATCGCACTAATGTATAGACGAACGGCGTTAACACTTCCAATATTTCATACTTAGACTGAAACTAATATTAATTATATATTTATGGTATTTATGGCTAAAGGTCTGGCGATTCCCATATCTGGCGCAGAAGAATGGCGGAGGTATTTGACAATCATTTATATCGTTATAATAACACTTTAACTGATTATATACTTATATATTGTATATAAATAAATCAATTTTTAGGTGCATTTCTTATACCGTATTTTATAATGTTAGCCGTCGAAGGGATACCCGTTTTCTACTTAGAGTTAGCCATCGGTCAGCGGTTACGTAAGGGTGCGATCGGGGCCTGGAATCTCATCTCAGTCTACGGGGGAGGCATTGGGATCGCCAGCGCTGTCGTGTCGTTCAATGTGGCCCTCTATTACAATACAATCATCGCGTGGTGTATATTCTACTTCTATCATAGCTTCCAAAACCCACTTCCATGGAGTGATTGTCCGCCCAAGAAGTTAGGCAACGACTCTTATATGAGGCCAACAGAATGCGAGGTTTGTTTCATTGCAATAACAGCTATTATAGCTCTCTATTTGTTTTTGTGACAATTCTCTCGTGTGTTCTGCAACTAACTTAATCATTATTAAAGCATTCATTGTTTTACTCGTTTGTATTTATTGAAGAAATTGTAACAACTATAGCACTATTGATATATACATTTAGTACACAATTTAGGTTTTTACGATATATTTATTGTAAAAACATTGATAAATTTACTATAAATACACTGTACTGTAATCTTCGATAACTTTTACACACTTCTCGCCTAATCTGTAATTCAATGTTTGATAAATTGTTATTTTATGACAATTTTATTATTATTTGTCTGCGATTTCTTGTAATTTCATTGATTTTATGTTTAATTTTACTAAAATTCCCAATAATTATGGTCACAAAAAATATGATAAATTTCCATAAAATATAGTTTGGATGAAAATAGGGAATTGATTACTAAATGCAATTCTTTCAAACGTTTAAAACAGTATTTTGTGAATTATAGTGGAAAATCAATTTATCGATAAACCCATGAACTTATCCACGACTTTAGCCAACAATAATGCAAATGACAACATATTTAGCAGACCTTTCACTACTTGTTTTAGTAAAACAGTATTTTGTGAATTATAGTGGAAAATCAATTTATCGATAAACCCATGAACTTATCCACGACTTTAGCCAACAATAATGCAAATGACAACATATTTAGCAGACCTTTCACTACTTGTTTTAGTTTTATTTTAGTCCTCAATAATAGTATCGCGTGTTTATGGAAATTGTCTCACATTTGGTTAAGTGACCAAAAAAGCCATTTTTCAAACCATACCATAAATTGAATGCTCGTATGAATTGTTTGGTGTATAATAGTTGTAACGAGTGTTCATTAACTTAACGCTTATAATAGATTGTAAAACTTTTTATTTATTGTTCATAACGTTAATATATTTTATTTTACTTTTATGAATAACATATTTCACGTATTATTATAATTACATTAATAATATATAGTATTACACATAAATTGATTATTTTAAGAGAGAGAGAGAGAGAGAGAGAGAGAGAGAGAATGTGATCCATCATCGCATCAACTGATGTTCAATTGAAAGCTTTCATTATAAGCACAGAAATCCTTTTTCACTGGTATAGAGTTTGCGTCCATTTATATTATATATCGTTTTTTAACTCTTCTAACAGTGAGTCTGTTATTCCGTGTAATAGTTGTTACAAAAATCAAACGAAACGAAACTTTCAATTTAACGATCGCTCATATATTGGAAATGTGATAGACTTTCAACACTCTCTTATGTCACCCGTTATGTTGACATTGTTTTTGGTCACAAAACTATTGATACAATCACTGAAATCCTTTTGCGTCAAACAAAAGGAGAGAGAGAGAGAGAGAGAGAGAGAGAGCCTACACTTACTATGATATATCTATCCATTTGACAAATTCTCCGATTATTTGATTACATTTTCATTAAATTATAATAATCTATACATTTATTTTAGGCAAAACTTTTAACTTAATTAATGCCAAAATCATTTCCATATTATAATTATATTTATACACCAATACTATTAAATTGTACATTATTTGCATTTATTTCATTAAATGTCAAAATATTATTTTATCGAATTATTATTTAACAAATATTCAATTGTTTGAAATTAAACAAAATAATCAATAATTAGTGGTAATATTTGCACTAATAATTAATAGATTCCGTATATTCATGCTTATGATGCGGTCTATAGTAAAAATATGTTGAGGTGAATGCAAAAGAATATGATAAAATCACAAATTGACAAATTATTTTGAAGATTCCTTTGTGGTGATCATAGCATTACATAAAGACATCAATTTTAATATTTGTATGTTTTTTTTGCTATATTTGCTGAATCAGTGTTTGAACATAACATTACTGTAATGTATTTTTAGAAAACTAAATTTTCTTTATTCCCAATATTTGAATATATATTTTTTATTGATTATAGATTTTGGATTACAAAACTAGTCATACATTGGATACAAAACATTGTAATAAAGATATTGGAGTTTATTATTAATAATCGATATTAATATTACTAAATGAATGCAAATTAGAAACGATGAATGAATATCTGCTAAATATTATCGCATATATAAACGCAACTTATAATCAATTATTTAGTGATAATCAGATACACAGAATCGGCACTCAATTACATGGAAACATACATAACATATAGAAATAAATCTATATATAGTTTAAATCAAAACTAAATAATTAAATCGATAAGAAATAGAGGAAAAGAGTGAGAAATAGTGATAAAGAATGCATAATATTGTTCGGAGACAACAGTCCAGAAGCGAACTTCCGATCGGAGAGAAGTTGGAGTTAAGGGAACTGAAGGGTCGACTAGTGATGGAAAACGGGAGACCATTAAGTTATGGCACAACTAATGTCGCCTTTGAAGACGACGACGAAAATACTAGCATTGATAGCAATATATCAGTGAGTAGTCAGTAGTCCTCCACCACTACACCACCAGTTCATGTCTTTATCACTTTTGTTACTAAAATGTGTTACAATTGTGTTTTTCATTCAATTCATTGGCTCTTTTGTAACCAAACTTTTCTTTTTCTTTCTTATTTTTTGTATTATCTCTCCGTTTATGAAGCCGTCAAAAATAATGACCGCAGACATGGCTGTGGCCGACGATAGGGCACCGTTTCAGGACCCAGAAGACGGTCGGGAGTCGTGGGACAGCAAATTGCAGTTCATGTTAGCCACCATTGGATACGCTGTGGGACTCGGAAATGTAAATTATGGTGATTTCTCATTTACGCCACTTTTGATTTGCGATCAATCAAAATAAATGCTTTTTTGATGCACCGATAAATCAAATGAGATTTTTTATATCAAAGTTATATAGAAAATGAAATAAACTGAATGAAAAAAATTCGGTTACTATTCCCCGTATTTACGGCTGAATACATGCATTTGCTCTCAAAATATTACACAAATAATTTTATTCGCTGTGAAAAAACAAATTACAATTTTCTTAAATAGTCTTTTATTTTAATAATACGAAAAATCTGTGATGCGATGACATTAATCCAAATAAAGTGTTATTTTTTCTCGTCTTATATTTTTTCTTATAAATATAACTCTCTCTCTCTCTCTCTCTCCAATAACGCGACTCCTAATGCATCGCAAGAATTGGTGACAGAATTGGCGTTATTTACAGTATTTTTGTGTT